CAAAAAAAAAAAAAAAAAAAAAAAACCTCAATTCTTCATTCATATGATGGACGGTCGGAATGAAGATATATGAAATTAGGATTAACAATGATGATAAATAAGTTGAAGAAAAAATTTAAATATATAAATATTTCTCATTTCTAACAGCTTATTTTATATGAGTTGGTTCAACTCAATAGAGGTCTTGAGTTCAAGGCTCCCTATTACTCAATTAGTGAAAACTGTGCACAAGTTCTGTTACAATTCCCAGTATTCTTTTGAAAGCGTAACTAGTGCTGAAACTGAAATTGATACTAAATTGGGATTTCAAATTTTTGTTAAGAAAATGCCAGCCAAAGGCACGTCTGAATGTGAGTTCACAGTGTCTTTGTTATTCATATGAATGCAATATCATGCTTTACAGGCAGCAAGATCTAGTATTTTCAGAATCATACTGGATTCTGATGGATGTAAAGCTCCACCAAATGACACAATAACACTTCCTGAACTGAACTACGAGGAGCTACAGTCTTTGTTGGAGTTCCTATACAGTGGACAATTGCCAAAAGAAAAGGTAGAAAAGCATGTTTATTCGTTGTCAGTTGCGGCGGACAAGTATGAAATCCCATTCCTTCAAAAATATTGTGAGCATCGAATGCTTGGATCCTTAAACTCATCAAACGCTCTTGATATTCTAGAGATATCAGATACTTGCTCTAACCAGTCCTTAAAGGAGACTGCCTTGAACTTTATTGTAAGAAACATGGAAGAAATAGTTTTCTCTTCCAGATTTGATGCATTTGCACTCAAGAATCCTCATCTAACTGTACAGATTACAAGGGCATCCTTTGCTGACATAAAAAATCGCAGGAATGCAGTTTGACTTCTGATAGAAGGCTGTACATTCACTTTTGTCAATTATACTCTCAAAAGTTAATTCCAACTATTTTAATGGATATGGAATGTACATATACTCTCACCATTTAAAATAATTGTTTCCACTCAATTCTTCCATCTGATCAAAGTATTTTATCAGTTATCTGAGCTTTTGCTTGACAATTAAACTTTAGGTTAAAAATCATTAATGGACCATAGAAAAGAAAGCTATCTTATATTATCTCTCATGATGATGTCGACTAATGGACTCTGTTTATAACAAAAAGTGATGACTAGCTAAACCATTTCTCTTAAAGATCTTCCTTTAGAAATATTGAAAGTGACGTTAGCCTCTGGTTTGGTGAAAGCTAACAAGTGAGAGAGCTTTTTCTAGACTTGCTTTGGGGACGACCTCTTTGTCAATAAAGATTACAGTGCTCTTCTATTTATATAGAGATTCATCGGTATTAACCTTCCTATTAGAATGCTAATTTACAGCAATTATCTATATTCTAGGCTAGATATTAAGGAAAGTTTATACAATCATGCCCATATTTCCTCAAATTGATGCTGGGAGATCAAGAAGCATCAATTTGCTTGCAAGGAATTGATGGCGCTGTCTTGTCATGGCTTTCGTAAACATATTAGCAATTTGAAGATCAGTGTGGAAACATGAGGTAGAGAAATAACACGTGTCTAGAACTTCCCGAATAGAGTGACTATCTATCTTAATATGCTTTGTAAGTTCATGAAATACAGCAGTGTTAGCAATCTGGATAACACTAGTGTTATCAGCGTGGAGAGGAGTAGGATCATTTTGAGAAAAGCCAAGCTCTGCTAGTAGTCCATGAAGCCATACAATCTCAGAATAAGCAGCAGACATGACACGATATTCTGATTTAGTAGAAGATTTGGAAACTCAAGCTTGTTTCCTGCTCTACCAAGAGATCAAAGAACCACCAAGAAACATGACAGACAGTCGAGTATAAGGACATTTACCCGATCCGCATCACTATAGGCAACAAGATGAAGGGAAGTACCTCTTGTGAAGAATAACCCATAGTGTGGCGACCTTCGAAGATATCGAATGATACGGTGAACAGCAGCCAAATGTAGATGGCGTGGAGCTTGAGTGAATTGGCTAACTTGTTGGACAGCGAAAGAAATGTTAGGGCGAGTAATTGTCAAATAGTTTAAACTACCCACCAACTATTGATAAAAGGTAGGATCCGCTAGTAGATCACCCTCATCACGGAGATATTTCGTATTGACCTCTTGTGGAGTATCTACAGGAGAAGTAATCTAAAGGCCGGCTTAGGTAATCTTTTGAAATAAAATATTTCGTATTGACCTCTTGTGGAGTATCTATAGTAGATCACGCCTTACAACACCATTCTTTGTATAGAGACGCAAAATAAGTTAGATTCATCAAATTCGAACGAGTGCCCTTAGATTTAGCACGTAATTTCATCAAAAACTGATCTCTTTACTTTGCTCGTGAACCTTCTGGATAGCAAAGAGAGATTCTTCTAAGGGTCACGATTCATCAAGTTCTTCCAACACAAACATCTAACGAAGGTGTAGGATCACGATTCATCAAATTCGAACGAGTGCCCTTAGATTCAGCACATAATTTCATCAAAAACTGATCTCTTTACTTTGCTCGTGAACCTTCTGAATAACAGAGAGAGATTCTTCTGACACCAAAGCATAAACCAAATCAGTAAATTCTGCCAATAGGTTCTGGAACCTAGAAAAATAATTCTGTATGGAGAGATCATCTTGAGTGTAATTGGCGATATCATATTCCAACTGAAAACGTCGAGCAGTGTTTTCCAGATTATACACCTTTAAATACTCCCACACAAACTTAGCAGTCTTGTACAGCCTTAGATTGAGAACAATTTGTTGATCAAAGATCCCAAAATCCACATCATCACTCTAGCATCTTTGATTTTCCATTGAGCCAATTTTCGGAGTTCAGTAAGAGCTGGGCCACTTCCATCTATATGACCCCATAACTCTTTCCCCATAACAAACAAGTGAAATTAAAATTCCCAAGCCAAATAATTCTTTCCTATGAATATCACACCAAAAGAGTCGAAATTACCATTATAAAAGAATAAGTCTATTAATAAGACTCAAGCTCAATAGACAAAGTTCACACCAAAATAGTCCAATATCAAAGCCCAACAAAATAGTAGCAAGCTAACTAGAATATTTGAGGCTCAGTAAGTAGAAAGCCTAATAAATGGAAGCCCAATCAAACCAATAGACTAAACAAATCAACTATTTCAAGCCCAATATGCAATTAACCCAATCAAATGAATTAAAACCAAACAAAAACACACCCACAGGCAATAGAGGTACCTCCGGCCTAGTCACCAAAACGCCGGCACCTATCCAAGATGGAATTGGATTGAATGATCTCATTTACAGTGCTCTTCTTTTTAAATAGAGATTCACCCGTATTAACCTTCCTATTACAATGCTAATTTACAGCAATTATCTATATTCTAGGCTAGATACTAGATATTAAGGAAAGTTTATACAATCATGCCCATATTCTGTCTTGATTGACACTCTTGTATAGGAGAAAATTTTCGATTTTGAAGATTGTTAAGTCATTGGATTACAAAGATATTCATACTTCAAAATAAATAAAAATAAAAACTCAGAGAGATAAGGTTTCTATTCCACTACTAGATAAAGGCGACAAACAGCACAGACCAAGGTATAGCTCACACATTTTAACATGCCCTTACTTGTAGAGAAGTATCTCTCTTCCAAATTCTCTTCTTGTCTTTTTCTCTAAGCTGCTCACCACAACTGCAGTTTATCCAAACTTAATTGTACTATGCTTCCACTGTAAACCTAGGTTCCGACTTTGCAATATTCATAGGCAAGTTATTGTAGAACTTAACGGTAGCTACAATCAATGGGGTCCACCAAGAACACCTATAAAGGGGTAGGATTATGAACAATTTTCAATTTAACAAGAGGTTTTCTGCAGTTCATCCATCAAAACAGGAAAGAAACTGTATAAGTGAAACTTGGCAAGGCAATAAAGCAGGAAAGAGAAAGTTAGACTATAATACCTTCGTAGAGCCCCCCATCCCCCAAAGTAGTGAGGAAAAGGAAATCCTTAAAGTTCATTGATTATTAAAATAATGTTTTCATCAACCTAGAACTTATTTACTAATAATGACGCTCCATTAATTATCTTGAAACAGAGAGCTCTTGGAAAAAGACGACAATTCTTCATAACTGAAGAGAATTTATCAGTATCTTGCTAAAATGTAAAATATTGCATTTCTATCCAAATATACCCATACAATACCTGAACATAATCAAGTCAGAGTCATTTGCTCTTTTGCAAAGATCTATGCACATTCTAAAGGCAATGCTCCAATACACATAAAAGTTCTGATTGCCCGGAATTTGGTGGTACAATAGCATGTGCTCCAGGGACAGCACGTCCTACCAGACTATGCCTATGAAGAGATGGTAACTGGATTTGCACAGATAACATACAATGTATGAATGTATAACAGGCTAAACTTATGGGGAGACACAGAAATAAACACTTGTGGAATCAAGGCGGGCAAACCACTTCAAAGAAAAGAGCAGTAGAAATAAGAACAAGAGAAGTGTTACTAAACAATGTGATCATGTGAGATAATATGCATACTTTTGCAAGGAAGCTAACAACATGACGGCGTGACAGTCAGTTTCTATACTTTTAAATATAAAATATTGAGAGGGTAACAATTGGTCACTGAGTTTGGACAAAATTACTTGTTAGTCACTGAACTTTTTTTCACTCTGATATGGTCACTTTACTATTTGAACGTTTCAATTGCATTACTCGGTTAGTCTCACAACAAAAATATCTCGGTAAGTCAGTTACTATTTGAAATGTCTCTGGCATTACTTGGTTAGTTACTAATACGCATACCTACATTTGAATGTCCAAAGAGGCTGAAACCATTGAGATGACAAAAAATATAAAGTTGTGGTAATGGGATTGTCCTACCACTGAAAAGAAAAGAGAAGTTGAAATAAGAACAAGAGACATGTTTTTTGCACTCCGATGAATTGAAAGAGTGGTGGAGGACTTCACATGGATGAAAAGGATTCTTCGTAGGATCCTTGTCATTGAAAATATTAGTAACAAGCAAAGGCTAAATAGGTTTATAGAGAACTATGGTTCATGGATGTGAATATTTGCATAGTGAAGATGTTTTCATAACACTAAAATTTGAAAGAAAAAAATCGAGTTGAATTGTTAACTATGAAGCACCTTCAAAAGGGAAGGGGCTACTATTTATATCCCATTCTTTTCTTAAAAAGAGTATTTTGCAGTTCATTAACAAGAAAGATTTACAATGTAAAAACGAAATTTAGCCTGTCCAAAAAGTGAGAATCAAAAAATTACGACAACACTACATCTAGATAATTTCTTATCTCCAAAAACAATGAAGGAATATAAAATCATAGATCAATGGAAGTAAAAGTTAAGGAATGAGAGATCTGAAAATTGGGGAGATACTGTTTTATTAACCTCGAACTTTTTCACTTAAAAATGAAGCTTTGTTAATTATCTAAATAGAAAAAAAGCACTTGAGAAAAGCAAAATTCCTTGTAGTTTGCAAGAATTTATTGAAATCGGTTAAAAGGGTAAATAGATTATTTTCAATCCAAACATGCACGAAATCATATTTTCTATCATACAATTTGAAATCCTAACATCAAAATCAAATTTTTTGGGTAAACCATGGTTAGGGTTTTTACTTTAAATTTCCCTAAACAATCAAAACAAAAGTGGCTCTTCAACAACAAAAAATCTGCGGCATTTTCATTTACCTCCTTTCCCTCCACAGTTTTCTTTCACAATTTTTAAGTTGAAATCGTATTAAAAAGGTAGAAATGTTGCATTTCCATTCAAATGCATGCACGGAACCTGCACATATTTGGCACATTGACCATGTGAGAGTGATATTGCATATTGCACGAAAATCCATTTAATTCAACAACTCTAGTAAATCCAACTAAATTACAAACATCAAATCAAATTCAGAATTTTGGCCAACTAACCATGGACAGGGCTTCAACTCTAAATTTCCCTAAACAATCCA